AGAGAATTCAGTGCCAAGGACAAATGAGGCACCCTGTAAATATTTATTGACTTAATGAAGAAGAAAAAGAGAAGACTGGGAGATGGATTTGGATGAGTAAATGAAAAACACTGATATGTTATAAAAAAAACTTAAGCTTATTTTGGTATTTCATACTGACATAAAAACTAGCCCTAATTGAAAGAACACTTATTTTGAGAACAGGAAACCTAAAACTTCAAATCGTTTATTTTGAATTTTCTTCAGACAGTTGTAATGAGAGTGTTTCCCTTTATTGACTGCAAGTCCCACTTCTGCTACCAAAAGTCCTCCTCACCAACAGCTCTGCCAAATTTCTCCTCATGTTGACTTGATGGTAGATTAGGCTCATTCTCTCTACACAGAATAAGACGACAGAAATCAAAGATAATCTCTAGTTTGGGGGTGGGGTAGGAGGGATAAAAGGCATGATTTTCTATTTATGCTAAATTTTTATGAAACGTCCATTCACTCTGCATAATCTTTTCCTTCACCATTAGGAGCAGACTTATGATTATTTTTAATATCTGCTGTACTTAATACTTTGCTTATAGGAACAATAATTTAAGTAAATCTATTAAAAATAAATGCACAGAAAATGTAACAATGAAGAAAAAGTAAGCTTCAATAGCTTCAAACAGCACCATGTATCTAGAGAGAATGAACACCGTGTTGGAGCATTGTCATCAATTTATAGACCTGATTCAAATTCGTAAAGACATGACCCAAATTAAATGAGAAATTTTGGTGTGATTGTAACCCAGTTCTACGTCACTCCAAAGTTCATGTTTTTTTCTGATATACTTCAAAAGTCTAAATAAGGTAGTTCCTGAATACCATATGGCCCCCCAAGCCTACCAGAACCGATCACTGAGCACAAAGCTGGGAGTAAACCCTGAGCGCATCCAGGTGAGGTTCCAAAACAGTAACAATAATAGTACTACCCAAGAATAATATTTTATCACCTGATTCTCCAGCCCATTGCCAAGAAAAAGTTGCATTCCTTTTTTTATCATTTGACTAGTTTACTTATTTATTTATTTAAATTTATTTATTGAATCACCGTGAGAGCAGTGACAAAGCTTTTGGGTTTAAGACTTGGTCATATAATAATGAAACACCCGTCCCTTCACCAGTGACCATTTCCCACAACCAACAACCCCAGTATATACCCCATTTCACACCCTCCTCCTATCTGTATGGCAGATGATGTCCACATTACTCTCTATCTACTCTGATTACATTCTATATTTCAACACCAGCCTCACCATTGTTATTTGAGATTTCCCCCCAACACTTAGATCTGCCAAAGAAGCAACATTAGATACTTTGCTTTTTGTTGCTGATTATGAATAGCATATGATGTTGTGTGATTTTGGAATTCTGAAATTTTAATAATTAAATCTGGAGAGATTTCTGCCAAAAGGCGCTGGATTCCGAGATTTGTTTCTGAGTCTCTGGGATCATGGCCGTTCAGCAACTCGATAAAGAGCCAGAGAGCAAAAGTTGTATTACTTTAGACAGCCTATTTTCTTCCCGGATTCTGGGGGTTGTCTCTCTGATGCACAGAGGATTGAAATGGATGAGCTTCTTGTTGGTATTTGTAAGTCTTCCTATAAGACTTCAAACTTGTAGAAAGTCATAAAACTTCTATTCCATATAGACTTAGGAAAAATGCTTCTGGACAAAGATTTTGGACAGTAAGCTTCATAGCTCAGTGTGAAATTCTACTTCCAAGTTATAAATAGAACAAAACCTTCTAATGAAAATGCTGACACAACCCAAAGAACAGTGGAGTATGACCAAGTTCATTACATAAACAAACTGGTTTTTCAAATAAAGCATTAGCATCTTAAGAGTTAGGATATTAATAGGTAAGATGCGTTTAATTAAGTTGCAACTGCTACATTATACAAGAATTTTACTCACACAAATGTAATTTAAAAAGACATCCAGAACAATTGGCATTTTCCCCCAGTATTGGGTGATTTAGTCAATTCTTCAATTCAGACTTGCATGACATTGATTATTTTTGTGAGCTTTGTTCCGAGTTGAAAAAATATGGATCAGTAAATAAAATATTCAAATATATGGACTTATTTTTTTTCTCATTACTAAAATGAAAAAGTGGTAATAATAAAAATCTTTTCTTTTTCTACCTACTTTAATTCTGCTCAGGTTGGGGTTTGCATGCTTTGTTTGCATGCAAGGATGCAGTCCATTCTGGAAAGGTCCATTTTAAAGAGGCAGTCGTGGACTAGGATTCACTCCTGCCAACAGGACCTCCTTGAAAGCAGAAGCAATTAATGTCCCATTCCTTTGTCAAATAATGTTAAGAATTTTCTTCAGGCAAAAGTGGGTCCAAACCTTTTCTACAACTCCACAGACTTTTGGGGTAGCTGGAGACTGCTTTGTGAAGTTTGCTTTTGATACCTATTCTGTATTAGTCAGAAGAAACTAACCATTGCTATAGACATACCCTCATAAAATAACTCCTACTCTTTGGACGATATAAAAATAAATCGAATGTGGTAAACATAAACTGCATCTGATCACCCATGAAACAAGCAGCACTGAATTTAGAATCATAAACAATGAAATCGTTATCATGAACACTTTCATATCTTTTACAAATATAACTGAGGCATTAAATAATATGTATTTGCTACCATTTCTTTGAATAGGTAAGTTCACTGTAAATATTTTTTAATGTTCAAAACGAATAGAGAATATATATTTCACATTTATTAGTGTTTACTTTTTTTGTGTCTTTTTGAAACACCCGTGCTGCTCAGGGATTATTCCTGGCTCTGGGTTCGTGGATCACTCCTGGGGATGCTCAGGAGACCTGATGGGCTGGTAAGGAGCAAACCAAGGTCAATCCTGTGCACGGCAAGTATCACAACAGCTAACTCTCGGTTCAGCCTCATAATACATATTCTAAGTGGTCTATAATATACCTATTCTCCTGTTCATATGTTTATGGGCAAAAGCTCAAGCTATGTAGCATACCTATGCCCTGAGCACTGCTGTAGGGGAAGGTTATTTGGAAGATGTGTGCAATATGAGGTTATCAAGGTGGGATTATTCATTTGAAAGAAATGTCATTAATGACTCATATCTATACCAGGCTTATGAATCGCTACAAGATCAAACCAAGATAACTCCACAAGCTAATGTTTCTTACACAGTAAACTAAAAATATCTTGTAAAAGGGAATGATATCAAAATGAGAGAGGCAATCAGGAGAATAGTAAGGTATGTATTTAGTTTCTTTCTGGAAATAAATAAGGCAATTCCATAATAGTGAAATTGAGAAAAATATTCTAGAAGCAAACCAGTTATACATGTATCCAGAGACTTTTTCACTACTCAGTGCTACACCTTATTTTTCCATAAAACTTTTCAAGGTCTCAGGTAACCAAAACTATCACAGTCCATTCTGAGATTTTAAAAAATGACATTCACAGATATATGACTGCAATAGAAATGACAAATGTCCCTTTCTAAAGAAAATTAGCATATTTAAACATTCAAACTCAAAAGATTCTAATTATATATTACTACACCCGATTGCAAAAATGCCATGCTTTCAGAGTTTATTGAAAAAATAATGTTTTATGAGGGCAAATATAGATATAAAATTACACCCATCTTTAGATTCTTCAGTGTTGATAACAATGCACAATAATAATTATACAACTAATATTTTAAGTACCTATGTATGGACTGGAGCGATAGCACAGCAGGTAGGGTGTTTGTCTTGCACATGGCCAATCTGGGTTAGATTCCTCCAACCCTCTCTGAGAGCCCGACAATCTACTGAGAGTATTCTGCCCGTACAGCAGAGCCTGGCAAGCTACCTGTGGCATATTAGATATGCCAAAAACAGTAACAACAAGTCTCACAATGGAGACATTACTGGTACCCGCTCGAGTAAATCTATGAACAATGGGAGGACAGTGCTACAGTGCTATGTATATGCCATTTAGCAATTCAGGTATATTGTGTATATTGTCTCAAATTCTAAAAGTAATCTTGCAAAGTAGATTTATTATTTCCCAAATGATGAAAATTAAAGAAAACTTGAAATTCACTATTAAGTTCATATAGCTTTAAGAAAAAAAACTCCAAATAAAATCTTTTTCTTGAATCTAAAATTTCACCCATCACAAGTGATGACTGAAAATGTTGGTAAGAAGTATGTTATTCTACATGAAAAGCCCAAGCAATGCAAATATATGCCAGTGTTTCTAATTGTTATGAATCGGTGGCAGTGCAACATCTGAAGCAAATATTTTTCCATATCACCATTAAACAGGACCTCCTATTTTAGTGTTAATCTCTCTCCATATCTCAACACTCTCTTTAACTCCACCACAAATTCAAGCTAAAATGTCAGTCAGCTCAAGCTGGTGAAGAGAAAAACCCATTGCCCAGTCTGAATTGAAACATATTAGCTCTCATTTCATTGGGAAAGCAGTCTGTCGGTCAAGATGAAGCGTTTACAAAATTGAGTCTATCAGAGAATAAAAGTTTATCCTCTGAAGTATCATTATTTTGTACTTTGAGTAATTTTTCAAACTTTATTTTTAATGGCTACATTTAGCAGTCACAAAGATAATTCTTAAGTATATATTTAGCCAAAAACACAGTTCAAAAGATTAAGAGGTTATTTTATATTCAGGAGGTTTGGGTTTGGTACCCAGTACCACAGAGCTGGGAGTAACCTTTCAGCACAGAGCAACACTGGGAGTAACATTTCAGCACGGAGCAAGGAGTAACCCCTGAGTACATCCAAGAGTGGTCCAACTCACACCCAACCCCCAAATATATGGACAAAAGAGAGGGTACAGAAATGAAAGCACATGCCTTGAACGTGGCCAGCCATGGTTAAGTCTCCAGCACCACATTGGCCCCAAGGCTATTGCTAAGTTTAACCTGAGATGTCCCCAACACTGCTAAGTGTGTGCTATAGGTCCCTAGTATTCCTGGAAACCACAAGGTCCAACTAGTATCACATCTTCAAGGCACTCATATTCAACCGTCTGCCTGATTGACTGAGAGTACCCCACAAAAATCCCAGAACCTAAGTTTAGTGCTTTACGCATTGACTCAAAGTCAGCATTAATGAACTAATTAAGAATATCAATATTTGGAGTTGAAGAAATTTCAGTGATTTGGGTGCATACCTTCCACAAACAGGAACCAAAGTTTGACACTGGTCCTGAGTGGCTTCCAGCATCACTGGACCAAAGCAACTTCACTGACACCGAAGCCCCATGCTTAGATCTCTGAGTATTGCTAGGAGTTCCTCCTAGGCCTCTGAGGACTGTTTTGGAATTTACCACCAAAAGTAAAGATTACATTTTAATACATGGTGTCCCACAATGCTCCTCTAAATATTTGGATCTAAAAATGAAGCAATATAAATGAAGCAATAAGAAGCCTTATTAAAGGCGTATACATGATAAGCTTTCAGTACCTGTATTGCAAACCATAATGCCCAAAAGGTAAGAGAGTAAGTGAGTGAGTTAGAGAGAGAGAGAGAGAGAGAAGAAAAATATATCCTGATATAAAGCATAGTGGGGGTGGGAGATGGAAGGAGGGAAACCGGGGACATTGGTGGTAGGAAATGTACACTGGTGAAAGGATGGGTGTTGGAACATTGTATGATAAAATTTCAATCATAGTCAACTTTGTAACTATGTATCTCACAGTATTTTAGTAAAAAGTATCTAAAATTGGCTCATATATAAGGCACAATGTGCCTTACATGCTCAAATATGACTCAGAAATATTAAGATATAAACAGAGTTTATAGAACTGGTCATCTATAAACAAGTTGTAAACTCTGAAATAATGACTTAATATACATCAATACCATTTATATTTACAGATTATTTTCAGTTTATAACAAATAATTAAGGTTGCTGAATGCTAATTGTATAAAAGTTTCAGTAAATAAAGCTAAAGCTCCTTCACTGATGACAGAACAAATATGAATTATTCTGCATTTTTTATGGTCAGAGACAAAGGTCTTGAATTGAAAAATTCACAAATATAATATTCTATAGTCTCTGTAATTGATAAATTAGTAACTCCCTTATCCATTAATATCCCTTAAAAACATGTGAAAATAATCTTATAGCTGAAAGTTATATCAAAGAGTAATTCTTGAGAAAACAATTCATATTAAATTCTTACAGCAAATGATAAAATCCAAATGAGAAAAGATAGAGTTTAGCAACCATCTAAAGAAAACCCATTATTAAAACTTCTTTATTTCTGAATTGAAGGGTATAGTTTCCTTATAGTGATGACAAATAATTCCGTAAATAGGAACAGAGTAGTACACTAAAGATTCATCTGCCTCATTGTTTGCTGATATGTTATGCCAGAAAAAAATATTTCACTCTCTGAGCTTCTGTTTACTCAAGTACCAAGAAGGGGAAGAGCTGGCCTTTGGTTAGTAAGATGTGACTTAGAGGAGTTAGTTTATGCTTTTAGAAATCCTTGGAAAGTTTTGCTTAGTGTCAAGATTATGTCAAAGGATTCTTTCAGCAAATAAGAATTTTAGGCAATCAAAAACAAATAACAACAAACATACCAACCAACCCCATACATTCGTTCTGGAGATACCACATCTTTGTGAATATTTGGTAATACCAATCATTTCCATTTCAATATATTGGATGATATGCAATAACATCTCACACAGCGGTAGGGCATTTGCCTTGCACTCAGCCAACATGGCTGACCCAAGTTCGATTCCTCGGCCCCTCTCGGAGAGCCTGGCAAGCTACCGAGAGTATCTTGCCCGCAAGGCGGAGCCTGGCAAGCTTCCTCTGATGTATTCGATATGCCAAACACAGTAACAACAAAGTCTCCAATGGAGATGTTACTGGGCCCGCTCGAGCAAATCGATGAAGAACAGGAGGACAGTGACAGTGATTTCAGTGATTTTGTTTGATTCATGTTTTCCTGATAACCAGTGGTCATTTGTAACTAACCATTGGTCTATTTTCTGGTTGAATGCTAATGCCGACATATCTTTTGAATTATCTGGTGTAAATAATGTGTTGGATATTCATTTGATATGTATATTATTAAGATAGGAACTGGGGAAATTATAAAAATGTGGGCAGTGAGAGAGCTCAGAGACTGCAGTGCGTGATTTGCATACTAAGATCCAAGTTTCATCTTCAGCACTTCAGGGGCGTCTGAGCACGGTCATGTACAGTACCGGTCCCCGAATACACTAGGCTCAGGCAGCACCACATTGTCATGTCAAACTCCAAATCATAAAGCTTCAGAGCTGGGCCAAGTATCATAGGGAGTGATCCGGGACCTGCAGTGTACTGTTTGAGGAATACCCCCAAAATAAAAATAAAAAATCACAAAATCAAGCAAAAATAATACAAATTCTCAACAAATTAGGAATAGAAATATACTTCCTCATCTTCATAAAAGGCACATAAAAAATCTACCACAAACATCCTATTTGATGGAAAATGGACAAGAAAATGTAATAAAGAAACACCTTGATTGGAAAAGAGAGGTAAAACTTTTTAAAGCAGATGCCATGATTTTATTATAGAAAATTCTAATAATTCACTAAAATTGCTACTATAATAGTCTCAGTACAAAAAATGTATTTTTATAAACTAGCGATAAGCATTTAATATGACTCAATTATTTAAAATGCAAAGCCTTTCCTTTTGTGAATATGGATTTAGGTGATTATGCTAAGTGAAATAGGCCAGAAAGTAAGGCAATTGCATACGCCTCTCAAATATGCAGAATATAAATAACTAAAGCAATAAATTAGGAAAAGTAAAACAAAAACTCAGACTAAATATATCATGATTATTAGAAAGTGAGGAGGTGATCGGAATGGGTCGCAAGGGCAAATTTGATAGTGTGATTGGGGAGGTGAAACTTACACATATGGAGTTACAAATTTATACCTCTAAAATTATATATCATCAGAAAACATTAGTAAATAAAATCAAACAAAAATTTCAAAAATGAAACCGAACATATAAAAATCCCACTTATAGTAGATAAAAATATAAAATGATGGAATAAATTTAATAAAAGGTAACATGCAACAAAACGGTATTCGTGAGATTAGAAGGCAAGATCATTAAAATTACAATGTTTCCCAAAGTTATCTACAAATTTGATGCCATCTCTAACAAAATCCCAGCTGGCTCTTTTGTGGAAATTGATAAACTAATTGCCAAAAAGTCATATAAAAATTCATAGGGGCCAGCATAGCCAGTCATGGGGGTAAAAATACAGTAAGTTTACAGTTATTGATTTCAAGCTTGCTACGAAGCTACAGTTACCAAGAGAATGTGGCAAAAACAATAAGAATAGCTATACAGATCAATAAAGTAGAAATGAAGATGGGTAAATAAGTCTCCTAGCATTTTAGTTAGTTGATTTTCAAGAAGGGTATGAATATAATTCAATGAGATAAAGGACATACTTCTCAAAAGATGGTGCTAGGATACTTGGGACATTAGCATCATATACAAAAATTTAAATTACATCATAAACTTAAATGTTGAGCTAGTAAATTTACTAGTAAACTAATAAATTCTTTAAAAATCAGAGTAAAGTTTTGTGACTATAAATTATGGAAAGCCTCCTAGGATACAAGATTGAAAGCACGGTTGACCCAAGGGATGGAGGAATCGAACCAGGTTGGCTGCGTGCAAGGCAAATGTCCTACTGACTGTGCTACTTTAGTACAAAGGTTAATGACCTTACAATACAGCCAAGTCTGCTTCATCCCTGTATCCCAAATGGTCCCCCAAATACAACGAGGCTCACTCCTGAGTGTAGAGCCAGAAACAGCCCTGAGAACTGTTGACATCAAATGAAATAATGAAAAAGATGAAGAATAATAAATTTTGATGATATTTGGAGACATTAAAACTTCTATTCATTGCTAGTGAGAGATTAATATATAGGTGCCAGAGAGATAGTACAGTGCAGAAGGTGCTTGTCTTGCACAAGCACCTTATGTCTGGTTTGATTCCTGGCTTTTGATATGGCCCCCAGAGCACTGGCAAGGCGATCCCTGAGTGCAGATCCAGGAGTAAATCCTGAGAAACCCCTCCCAAAAAAGGAATGTAGGAAGAGGCAAATGAGTGGATGCTGAGATTCCTAACTGGTCAAAACAGAAAAAGAGGAATTATAGAAAAGTATTAAAAACATGGAAAAATTGGGAATACTGAACATAAACATCATGACTCAAATTTTACAGTGGGCCTGTCCTTTCGCTCAGATGTTGACATACTATTTCTTCATTTCGTTTTTCAGACCTTGCCAGCAACCTGAGAACTTGCAACCATCTTTCACCCAAGGCAAAGAAAAGTCATGTTGCCTGCTTTCTGCCCAGTGCTCTGTATGATTCTGTGTGTGTTCTGGGAATGCTCTTCTACCTTCCACAATAACCTATGCTATCCCTTCCCATAAATAGTTGGATTCACTTTCTAAGCATGTTTCAGAGATTATGATAAGAAAAATTATTTTTATGAGCTTCCAGTAGACTCTTTCCGACCTAGAAAGAAAATGGTGGGGGTTTTATGTAAAGATCAGGAAAAAGTGATGAATATAACTTTAGTGTTTTTAAAGTTGTTTTTTGTTTGTTTTTAAAGCCCTTGGTGACAGCAAAAAGCTTGTTAGAGCACATTTTTATTTTTTATGAGATAATTTTTACTTTGAAATCTCTTCTAACACCATGGTCACAACATCCAATGTGCAGTTGTGTACTAATCCCAGTGCCCACCAATTTAAGACCCAGAACTCTGCAATTTTCCATAATATTCTAAAACTGGGATAATCTGATAATTTTCTGGCTTTTCATTCTGCAAAGGGGCTGCTGATAGTATGAAAATCTTTACTACGAGTAAAAAATTTGAAGACAATATGCCAGACAATCAATTCTGAGTCTGATTTTCTAGCAAGAGTCTAGCAAGTGCTCTGTCATCATAGAAACTTTGAAGATGTTAGAGAAACATTACTTATTTTTAAGGATAGGTTGAACTTATCCAATGCCACTATCTTGATATTAATTAGGCTTGCATAAAAGGATCTGGATATTTATGAGGCTTGTACA